CCCAAGCACCAAACAACTGGGTTTTTAAAAATACTACATTCTCTTTAAACAATAACCCAAATAAAAACAAGCTAGTAAAACCCGAGCAGTGACCCATGAGTAGTTTTTGACCCAGTTATCCTAACAGATCTCCCAAGTGGGCTCTCACTTTTAGCAAATGGAGCCTCTCATGTTCGTTGAGAAGCAACAAAGACCAGAAAACCGAAGCATACAGTGCATGCAGGAGCCAAGTATTCACAAAGGAGCCATACATCTGGAACCCTGGAACCTAAGAAATCCATTGGTATTTTTCACTGATTTGAATCTTTGCACTGAAACCCAAGTGCTTGGTTCAGAAACATCCAGGATGAGCTCTCATTTCCAGCAAGGAAAGATTGTTCTATTTTTGTCCTTAACGTCAAGAGAAGACAAAGACGCTAGCACCGATACCTTCAAACTTACAGCTAGGCACGTGACTGGCCTGCACATGAGTATGGCTTAGCGTTGTACATAGACACGCTATGTAAGACATACTTGTATGTATGTATGGAGGGTTCTGCATGTTAGAATTGTGAGGTGTGCACGTATGTGTGTGCTGTGCACCCACACATGTGTGTGCATGCATGTGGAGGCCTGTAGTCAACATGAGTTACCTTCCTCAATTACTCCCCACTCTACTGAGGCCGAGTCCCTTGCTGAACTGGAGCTCACCAATTCTGGATAGCCTAGCTGTCCAGCTTGCTCAGGAGATCCCCGCTATCTGCCTCCCAGGCATTGGATTACAGGCAACCACCAGACCTGCCAGCTTCTACATGGGTTTGGGGGCTCCAAACTCTAGCCTTTCTGTTTGCACACCAAGTAATTTATTCCCAGAGGCATCCCATTAGGCTCTCCTACTTGGTCTTCTTAAAGAAAGCTCTATTAATGGTTTTGCTGAAGCCAGATCTAACCTCAAATCTTCTTTCCCCCTTCAGAATAAAAAGGGGGTTTTGTTTGGTTTATTTGCCAGGCTGGCTAGCTCTGATTGGTCTCCAAACTCAGATTACCTTCAGGCTGAGAGGGAGATGGCAATCACCAAGTCCTGGCTTTCTTTCCCTGAAGAAACCACAGGATGTCAGAGAACACGATGGAAGCTGTGGCTCTCACTACTCCACCCTTCAGCCTCAACATTCTAATTCTGCACCACAAATAACACAGCTTGTGTATGTCATGGACGTATGTAGGACCTAGCATTTATTTTGATATGGAAGGAATGTAAAAATATAAGAACATTCAGGGGCAGGGATATGGCATGCACTGGCAAAAGCAACATGTCTCTAACTGATAGCAATTCAAAACATTGAAAATGGCTAGTATCTCATTGAACCCCATAATTGCCCAGGCTAGCCCTCTATGAACGACACAGAATTTGCCCAAGGATAAGCAAAGGAAAGGTCAGGGAGTTCTTTACATTTTCAACTGAGGACTCTTGCTGTGTTCATGATGGACATGGCACGTGACTCCTAACCACATCTCGCCAACACACCAGTCATGGGCATGGTGATACCCTAGACCTCTGAGGTCAACGAGTGAGCTGTCTAACTGAAGTCTGGAATTTTCATGGCGTTCGGTGTTCCTGGGATTGACCTCAGGGCCTTGTGCATAGCAGACAAGTGCTATAGCCTTGAGATACATCCCCAGCTATACAGCATTTTAAAAATAATATTTCATTTTTTTGTCTTACTATATCCAGTATCCAGATTAAAAGTTTTTTTGTTGTTGTTGTTTTGTTTTGTTGGTTTTTCAAGACAGGGTTTCTCTGTGTAACAGTTCTGACTGTCCTGGACCTAGCTCTTGCAGACCAGGCTGGATTCAAACTCACAGAGATCCACCTGCCTCTGTCTCTTGGGTGTGGAATTAAAAGCATGCGCCACCACCACCCGGCTGAGAGTAAAGATTTTAAAGAAGGAACATTCTGTCAGCACTACAGGGTGTTAAGTGCTTACCATTTTCCATTTTGGCTTAAGACACAAATGCACTAAGAAAGCCGCCCCTGCGGCTTCTGCAGCGGCTTCTGCAGCGGCTTCTGCAGCGGCTTCTGCAGTCCTCTCAACTGTGCCTTTTGTGAACAGAAACAGGCGATCTCATGGTCCGTTGAGTGATGTGACCCATCTGAAGGAAAGGTCAATGCTTACGTATCTACCACGTAAGACCGTTTGCAGAAGTGGCGAGTGATTACGTTTTCAAATGATCTGTTTTAAATTTGTACTGACTTCTTTCTAATAACGCTCAGACAGCCGCACTCTCTCTCCGTCCCCCAGGAGGCTCTAACACCTACAGACAGTCAAGGGCATCTGGAAGAGGTCTCTAAGGGCATCTCCAGAAAAGGACGGAAACTGAGGAAAGGAGAATTCTGAATGAAGCCACAGGGGCAGAACTCGCAGCCTTTCACCTTTCTCACGCCATCTGGCTGTTTCTAACTCCATACACTGACCCCTTCCTAAGCACGGACGTGTCTCCTTCACCCTAAAATACATGACAGGAGCTATCCCACATGTTTTGAGGGGAGATACACCTGACTAGTAGGCATGATGACAGTAACTGTTACCAAGGGCCAAACAAGGCTTTACGCTCATTGGGTAGAATCCAGAAAATCAAATGGCCATCCAATATTTTACTTAAAAAAGAAAGAAAAGGAAAAGTCCATGCCTTTTCAATTTGCATGAAAAGGATCCAAGTAAAATCAATGACATCTGCATAAGTCATTGTAAGTCACACATAAGTAAATGTATGTGACGGTATTCATTATAAGTCATACATAAGTCAATGTATGCGATGGTATTCATTACAAGTCATGCATAAGTCAATGTATGTGATGGTATTTTCCCTTTAGAATTTTATTCTTATATCATCACACGAGTGTACCTAACAGCCACCAGGTTTTTGTCAGGAAGCTCGGTGGTACTAAATATATTTCTCTTAGGCAGCTGACACCATAGTCCCTCTCCAGAACTTGTTTCATTTTGTACAGCTGAAACTCGGTACCCACTGTACACTAGCATCCCTTTTCCTGCTTCCCCCAGCCCCTGCCATCTACCATGTCTTCTCTCTGTCTCTGTGAAGGGGACAACAGTGAGTGTCACACATGGATGCAGGCACGTGACACTTGCCTTCCTGTGTCTGGCTTCTTTCACTTAGCACAGTATCTTTGAGGGTGATCTATGATATAACATCTAGTGCTAGAGGGTCCCTGAACTCCCACATCCTAGAATTCTAGAATCAGGCAATTCCAAAGCTCTAGTTCAATGCACCACACAAGGGCTACACACAACTAAGACAAGCAGCTCTGAATGTGGCACAACACAAAATTGAAGACTCCCTTAAAATATGAGATTGTTATTTTTGATGTCTTGTAAGTTGACTGTGCGGCTCTTGGGGGCGAACTGTCAAAATGTCAAGAGGTTAGACACACCTGCAGGAAGAGATATTGTTAAGAAAAATAAAAGGGATTAGTCTTTTACAAAGGGGGTAATAAACTCGATGCAATTTCACCACCACCACCCCAGAAGATAATAAAAGGTTAAAGAGGCCATAGTCCTTGCTGGATTGGATGCACTCCTAGGGAATAGACACATAAGAGGCTATTTGTTGCGAGGAAAAGAAAACACCATCCTAGACCACTTTGAGGTGAAGGTGGTAAATAATTAGCGTCCTAGGTACAATGTTTCGCTCACCCAAGAGCTGCCTGGTTGTGGGAGGAGCAGACAGGGAGGGCTGGCTTCTTACTTGGCTGTGAGACTTGTCAATCATGTCCACACTTGCGAGGTTTAGAGGCTGCCCAAAACTTTTTAGCTGTTTCGGGCTAAAAAGAAGCACTTCAGGGGACTGGAGAGATGGCTCAGAGGTTAAGAGCACTGACTGCTCTTCCAGAGGACCCAGGTTCAATTCCCAGCACCCACATGGCAGCTTACAGCTGTCTGAAGATCCAGTTACAGGGGATCTGACACCTTCACACCAATGCACAAGTTAAATAAACCATAAAAAATAAAAAAGAAGCACTTCAAAGGCACAGAACACCGGCACACCAGAAAGCCAAGCACAGGGGCAGTAGTACCAAGCAACACCCAAAGGGACTGCCTGGAAAGCCTGAGTCAGCTGTGCAGTGACTGCGATGGAGCCCGGGGTGATCCTGGGTGTTCTGTCTTAGGTAGCTAACACGTTGAATTCTCTATTGCACTAAATGAAAGAAACCAGACTCAGGAAGACAAGTGACATGCGCCCACATCCATGTGTGGTGTTGGGAACTGTAAACCCCCAGATCCTGAATTTCTTGTAAACAACTTGTTTTCTCCTCTGCTCTGAGACAGCCTGCAGCTGCTCTGAGCACAAGACCCTCAGGGGTTCCTGATGGCAGGGAAGTGGTTTCTGGTGTGTTTGGCTGGGGCGTGGCTATCCCTATATAAGCTGCCCCTGGACACAATAAAACGGGCACTCCTGTTTCAAGGATGGCCCATGTCTCTGTCTGTGAGTCTCTGTGTGTTTCAACCTCCAGCCCCTTGCCCAGTTCATGAACTGTTCGGTGGCGCATAGAGCGCAGACGGGCATGATGTGGTACAGTGTGGCACTCACTGTTGTCCTCTTCACAGAGACAGAGAGAAGACATGGTAGATGGCAGGGGCTGGGGGAAGCAGGAGAAGGGATGCTAGTGTACAGTGGGTACCGAGTTTCAGTTGTGCAAGACAAAGCAAGTCCTGGAGAGGGACTATGGTGTCAGCTGTCTAAGAGGAAAACCATCTTCTACAGGATTCTGGCTGTGTCTCAAGCTGGAACTGGTCATTCAGGCCTACAGAGCATCAAAGGCTTTAGTTTAAAGAGCCCGAGAAAACACTCAGATAAATTGTGTGGGCTGGGCTTGGAAGAGATAAAGCCCGCAGGAGCAGGGAGTACCACTTTTCTGTCTAGCCCCAGTCTGAATGATAAGTTCAGAAGGGTCCCTTCTATCATCCTAGTACACGTGCTTGATTCTGGAAGGAACATCATGTCACATGTGGATGGTAGCCACTCTTCCCTTCCTCGTACAGTCACAGCACCCAGAGCAGAATGTCCTGAAAGGTAGACCTATGACGTGAAAACCCGCTCTACCTGGTCATGGCCCGGGTTCAGCATGCTCTGTTCCATAGCTCTGCTGATGTCCAGCAGCTTCAGTTTAGAGGACTTCAGAGTAATCCAGAGCCTAGAGCTAAACTGTGCCCAGATGCCCTGGGGCCGTGAGACCTTCACAAGAGGTTGTTTGTTAGATATGGAACTGCCAGCAGATATATAGCCTTGTCTCCCGGGGTAGCTTGGCTCCCTCAACCAGGAGCCTGGGCGGAGCCTTTGGGACTCTTATTTTATATGATGCACCAGACACCAGCAGGAGTGCTCCTTCCAAACAACTCAGGGCATGGCTGAAGACGAGAGAATGTGCAGACACAAACCTGACAAGGGCACACAGCGCAGGAGAAGGCAGCCTGGGCAAGAAGGGAAAAAAGTTCTGCTGCCCTGACCCACAGACTTCTGCTTACTTCTTCAAGGGTAAGTCCTGGCTCGTGGCTTAGTCTTCAAGTGAGGAAGGACAGGGCTACCATTAAAAAAAAAATGACATAAGAAGCATTAAGAGTAAGGTGTGGTGACACATGTCTGACATCGCAGCACTAGGGAGGTGGAAGCAAGAAGGTCTGCTTAGGTAGGCTATGTACAATCCTGCTCCCTGAAATAAACAAAAAGTAACAAACGATGCCTTTAATTCACACACTTGGAATGCAGTGGCAGGCAGATCTCTGAGAGTCTGAGGACACCTGGTCTAGAGGGATGGGGTTCTAGTTCAGTCACTAGCTTGAGACTGCAGATGAGGCCCTGTCTCAAAAACAAAGCAAAGCCAGCGAAGTCCCACCAAAACAAAGCACTCACGAAAGAACAAGGGTGTGGTGGGGTAGATGAAGGGTTATAGTAATGAAATCCTGACAGCCAACTCCTAAGGCAGGCATCTTGTACTTAAGGAATGCAAGCACAAGCAGGAACTCTTCCATTCACGCGGATGTGAACTTTTAGGATGGACACTATGCTTTCTTTTTAGTCCAAAAGAGATAGAGGGGAGGAGCAGGTGTACTTGCGTTACCCACAAGGCCTCCCCTGGAGTCAAATTCTCTCAGGACAGCAGCGCCCAGCAGTGACTTGGCGGCAAAGGAGAATAGCTTTGTTATCTGTGTGGCAGGATCTGCCTCACACTACAAAGCAGCCTTTGCCCTAGTTCCCCTGAAGTCAGGGGTAGCCTAAAGTCAAATTAAATTTTCAACACACCCAGTCTGGCAACCTTAGGACAACCCTGAATCTTATGTACCTCTCCAACAGCCTCCTCTTTCTCGACAATAAACAGGTTTGCTTATTTTTAAAAAGCAGAACTACGTTCCAGTTGCCAGGTTTATCTGAGTTTACTTCTGACCAAAGGTGAGTGAGTTTCCAGTATCGCACAGGATTTCAGTGCGTGCACCCCCTTCCCACCCCACACAAACACCCCCACCCCATCAGTTTCCTGGCCATCAGCTTAAAAGAAACAAAGTAAGCTCAGAGATCCCCAGAAACAACAGAACTCAAAGGCAACCTTCGGTTACCTCCATTTCCAATCACTAATGGGAACTGTCCCATCTAGACACAGGTGGCGGCTTAAAGAGGGCCTTGCTATCGAGAAGTTTGTTGACACGGGCCTCAAGACTTGAAGGAGTTTTTATGTCTGACTCTGAAAGCTGTACCCCCCTTCCCTCCCCGTCTCCTTTTTGGTTTAAATCATGTTCTTTGCCTTTTGTCTCAGACAGCTGTTTCTGGGAGCATCTACTAGGGAAGATGGGAGCCAGAGTGTTTGGCACCGATTTTCTCCTCAAAAATACTTTCCCCCGGGAGGAGAAAATTCCGACCAATCTATCACATTATTGATTTCTTCATGCAATTCTACTCCTGTTTACCTAAGCAGGCAAAGAGGGGAAAGGAGGATGAAGGACAGCCAATAAAGAAAGCCCTTTGTTTGCAACCCAACTTTCAAATACTTTAGCAAGATGTCTTACCACTTAGCATCCAGATTAAGGGTACTGATAGATACATGTCTCCGGGTGCCTTTCCCCAATTGCTACCTTAGTAACCAACAGAAATGAGTGTTCTATGTTTTTACTCAGTTAGCCGATGTGGAAGAGTTTAATTCAGATGCAGAAATGCATATGGAGATTTCTTTCTCCATCTACTTGAACCCAAAACACCACTGTGCTGAGGGAGAAGCCATCATTGTTGGCTACAGTCTGTTTAGTTTGTTTTTTGTTTTTTGTTTTTTTTTTTTTTCTGAGACAGGAACTCTCTACACAGTCCTGTCTGTCCTGGAATTCACTCTGTGGACCAGGTTGGCCTTGAACTCACGGAGATCCTCCTGCCTCTGATTCCCAGGTGCTGGGATTAATAAGGTATGTCAGCACACCTGGCTATCTGATTTGTTGTAAACACTAAGAAAGGAAGTGAAGACAGGAAAAGTAAACAAAACAGGCTTGCTTGGGTGTCAAGAAAAAGCCTTTCGTGAGGGTGTATAGCGAGATTTTAGCCCACTCGCCCTCACTACATAGTCTTACAACATTGCAGATCTTCTGAGGTTCTTCTAGAAGTCAAGTGGACTCCAGGTTCTTCCCATAATGAGCTCCAAGGACTGTGGGGGACCATAAGAACAGGATGACCAGGAGAGATGGGACTAGCTACACCATGGCAAAGGTGACAGAGGTCTACACGATACTGCCAACCGTGTCCTTAGAAACCCTTCCACACCCACCTAGTAAACAAACTCGGGCTTTCTAAACACAACTGAACGGTAACCGAGTATCTTTCAGTAAATCATGCTTAAAGCAGAATGTCAAACGCTAAGGAAGACGGTTATGGTTTTTTTTAAAGTTTAAAGTCTGTCACACAAATGCCTAAGAATGTTATTCCCAGCTGGGCCTGTTGGTGCTCTCCTGTAAGTCCAGCATGCAGAAGCAGGAAGACCGAGTTTAAAGTCTGTCTCAGCTATAGAGCAAGCTCAGGGTCATCGAAGGCCCTAAGATCCTGTCTCAAAAAACAACACGAACACGAACACACACACACACACACACACACACACACACACACACGCACACACACTATCATTCCTGAGTCAAGTATGTAAGATGGCTTTTCTAACTCTGTGTGAATTTCCCATGCTAGTAGTGCCATGAGACTCTACATAAAGATGGAGAGGAAACAACCGTGCATGTGTACAACCACACTTTCCATGCGTGTGTACATAGAGAATGAACTGTGACACAGCAAGGGCCTGGGTTTACTTAATAGTTTTGTATAATTTTTATTCCCTCAACTTTTAAAAGGATTTCTCCCTTCCTCCCATCTTCTCTCCCTCCTTCCTTGCAGCAAAATGAGCCTAGGGCCTAGGCATTTCACTGCTAGGCGATATTGCCAGCCTTTCTACTCTTTCTTATGTGGGCAAAGGGATGGTAGCTCAAGGGTAAACAGAAAGGCCCAGGTAGTCAACTGATTATTGTTTTGAGGCATTTCTACGAGAGATGTGTCACCCAACACTAATAACTTCAAAGAGAAAGCTCAGATGCTTGCGCACGCGCGCGCGCGCACACACACACACACACACACACACACACACACGCACACACCCACACCCTGACATCGAATGAGAAGACCTGCTAAGAATGAAGTCAAGCCTTTGGTTCTGGCTATTGTCTTACAGGCTGTCTTATTTCAGCAGCACTGTGCTATTTTTGGGGACAGAGAGAAAGCCAATTATCCACTCAAGGCAGAGCTCGAATCCACACCGAGGAGGAAAAAAAGACGTAAGCCCCCCAAAATGAGTGAGGGGGCGGCTAGTAACAAGAGCACGGTGATGATAAGGCAAGAAAAAGCTGTGGCTCGTTCTGACAGAGCCTCCTTTGTAGTGGAGGCCAGCGATGTGCGGCTGATACCTGGCTGCAGAAGAAAGGAACTTCCCTTGGGTCCTCAGGGACCTGCCACCAACAGCAAAGGCAAGGAGCATGCTCACAGAAGAGCAAAGCGAACAAAGAGCGGAACACGGCTGGCATCAGGGGCTTTCTGGGTCCTTCCATGATCTTGTTTACAGCAGAACCATTGATCTTGTTTAGAGCAAAACTGTTCCTTCAGATCCCAACAACTCTGTAAGCACGGTGGCTGAATGACAAGCGGCTGCTGCCGGGGCTTCCAAAGCACGTGGGCTAGCAAAAGAAGTCGGCTTTACTCTCCGACAATCTTAGGATAGAGAGATTTTTCTCCTACTCAATATGGGAGGAACATATGCTTTCAGACAACCACCACTCATTATGAGACTCTAGAAAATTGACAGCAGAAAACCTAGCAAGGACTTTGATTCAATTTCCGGGCTTCTCACCATGTTCTAGAAAGAAGAAAATCGTTGTCATATTGTTCCTTTCTGCAATGAGCAGTAATAGTTACCAAGAAGAGAACACTGTATTATGAAGAAGACTGACTTACGAATCACTTTTCGTCTGTTGAAGGATGACTGGCTGTGCTTATTCACCCCCTCCTGCCTCTCTATCACTTCTCCACAGAAGGTCGGAGCACAAACCCCCAGACCCTCAAACAGGAGAAGGAGCAACACAAAGGTTTCCATGCCTCCATGTTGTCTACTCCCAGGAAAAATGGCAGCATATCTGTGGGCCGTTCCTCCGTGTGGGAAACCACAAAGATACGCAGCTATGTGGAATTCAGAGTCCCCTGAAGGCTGGCAACCCACTGTCCTCTCTCCCAGAGGGGTTACAGGTCAATTTAAAAGCCTCACTATCTATCCCCTTCAGAGCAAACCCATGCTTTGCTCTCTAAGGTTTTAGTTTCACACTTCATTCCATGGTTAACATAATCTAGCCTATTCCAACCAGCCTGTAAATATTTTAGTTCAGGCTAATGGGCAACCCCAAACAAAAGAAAGCCACCAAAAGGCTGCCAAGGTTGTGTAACCAAAGACTTAATAACCTCTAGAAGGAAACATTGGCTTTGAAAACAGTCCCAAACATGTAAATGTGCTTGTTGAGGGGGGAGGGGGGAGGGGAAAAAGACACTTTAGTTTACAAAACAGAGTCGTGTATATAAACACCCCACACTTATTTCTGCCCCTTTCCCCAGTGACTTGCACCTGCGCCCTAGTCACGGTTTAGAAGATCAGATTTCCTCTCTGTCGGATCTGCACACAGGTGAGTCCCAGGTACATTTCTCTTCCATTGCCTCATTTGGAGATGGGGGAGGGAGGGCACTCTGGCTCCATTTCTGGACACCCCCCACCCCTTTGTATAACAGTGAGAAAATAGAACCCTCACACCACAAGGTTTTAGTCCCTCCAGTATCGCCCACACAGAGACTGTCGAAAAATGACCCCCACTCATTCACATTACCCACACGGAAAAGTAGCAGCAGTTATTAGGGGACATATTAGATAGAGGAGGAGGGGGGAGAAGCTGAGCTCCGAAAGGGGGCTACTCTTTGTCAGCCTTCTGCACACCCTTCCCCCCTCCTACCTGTGTTTCCTCAGTGGACCCTCTGGGACCGACAACCTGCGCTGACTTGGCTCCCTCAAGAGAAACTGCCTCACAAAACACAGGCCTTCTTTATCTCACTAGAAGAACCTTCTCATTGGACGCAATAAAAAAAAAAAATCGTTTTCAAACCAAGTACGGTGTCCTCATTTGTAACCAGCTGTCTCTCAGAAGGCAAAGGCAAATTCAAGGTCCACCTGGGCGTATGCGGTTGGATGGTGTGTGTTGTGTGTATCCTGCAGAAGGGCTGCAGAAAGCAGGTCTTTTCGCTGCACATTTAAGCAGCTGCCAAACCTGCAAGCAAGTCCCAGACGTCCTTCCCTGAATGTAGCCCATCTGCTTGTATGGGTTTGCTTTATACCTCAAAGTACCCTCAGCTGTCCTGATGTATACCCTGAGCTATGTGCACACCACAGTTATGTGTGTGTGTGTGTGTGTGTGTGTGTGTGTGTGTTTAGGGAAACATCTAACACACTTGGTTCATCGACCCTCCATTTGCAGAGAAAAGTGGGCTCTGTCTGACAGAGACGGACATGTTTGTATCTGCAGAATTCCACTGGCACCTGAGGCGTCCACAATTTCCTTTATTCTTAACTTACGGAAGCCTATCTGAAATTCCTACTGTGTGCAGAATTCTGGAGGAGAAGAAAAACACCGGCGTCTGGGGACACCGAGACAGAGGCAGGGTCACACAGCAGCCCCGTCGTAGGGATCATGGGAAGATGGAGGAGGAACACTGCAAAATAGGTCCTTAGACGACAGCGGCACTGCCCAGCAGCGCTTCTCGGGAGGGTGGGGCGGAATCAATGCGCCTCCTTCTCGGCCTCCTCTGGAGCTGGCTGCCCAGGGGAGGAAAGGAATCCATCACAGTGGCAACCAGGGCAACTCAATCTGAAACTAATGAATGCTTGGCTGGAGAAAAAGAAAATCTTTAGAACAGACTTAACTTATGAAAGGGTGCTGAAAAGCGGGGAACTGCACTGTGTGCCAGAAGGCACTGCCAATTAAAGTCCAGAGAGCCCACGTCGTGTATTTTTTTCACACTATATGATTACATGTTAAGAAAGTGGTACACTGTGTTTCAGAGGGAACTGTGCCCATGTAGTTTAGCAGAGAGAGAGATGGGGCACAAGTCAGAGCCGCATGTTAGGAATGCTTAGGGAGAGAGAGAGAAAGAGAGAAGAGGGAGCCTGCAGTGATGCTGAACCCTCTAGGCCTTAGTGGTGACAGAGGCATCCCTCACCTCCTTCATTATGATAGATAGTACATGACCCCGGAAGGGGATACGAGAAGACTTAGGTACTCAGAGCAAGGGAGGCTAGCTTTGAAGTCCGGCTATCAGCAACCCTTCTATCACTAAGCCAGGTCGCTGTACCATGCATGACACTGGTCTCCAGAATCCTCCACAGCCCAAAGGGGGACCTGCTGCGGAGCATCATGCACGGTGAAAGGAAGTACTCCTGTCTCGGAGGAGGGAAATTCAGTGGAGCACATGCTCCGCAGACATCAGCGAGGGACTTCACGCTACTTCTAGGCAGGCCACAGAGAAGGTGCTTTGCAAACCGGAAGTGGTCTAAAAGTGTGGGGTGCGTGCCAGGCAAGGAAGCAATGCATGTTTCGTCACGTTCTGAAATAATGCTGTCTATCATCAGACTGGGCGTGGTGGCACACACCTGTAATCCCAGGACGTGGAATGTGGAGGTAGGAGGATCATTGTGACTTCAAAATCATCCTGGCCTATAGAGCAGGTCCGAGGCTAGCTAGGCTCCGTGAGAGCTTGTCTCAAGGAAAACAAAATAACGAAATTAAGACTGTCCATTTCTTCTGAAATGAAGCGGGGAGGAGGGTAAGTATTTGCTTTTTTTTGTTTTTTGTTTTTCTTTTACAGACAGAGTGGTGTATCTCAGTAATATCTCCTGGACCTCACTCTGAAGTCCAAGCTGGCCTCAAACGTACAATTCTCATCTTCCTTTTGAATGCTGGGACTGTAGGAGTGCACCAACATACTCAACAAGCACTTGTTTTCTGTGCCTGCAATTGAAACCATGTCTTACATTATAGGAGACGCGATTGCTTCTCAAAAACACAGACATATGCACAAATATATTAGAGACCATCCTTTTATAAAATGGGTATGTCCTAATTACAGAAAATACTTTCTTTTGTTTGCCTTCCTAATGCCTTATGTCTCTCTTGCTACTAAATGATGCTATTTGTGTTATTTGGCAAGGAAGTATCAATGCAATATATGAATAGGTCTAAATCAAAGGTTGCAGATGGGTGATTTTAAACGTCCTCTCAGTAAAAACCCAGCAATAACGTAATAGAAATAGAACCGAGTGCCCCCTGAGGTCGAACTAGGAAAAAGACAGCACAATATGAAAGCAACACGGTCCTGGAGAGCTGCCGGGCGCACAGGACAGGGCTAGGTCCCAGTGAATTACAGAGCAGGGAACATGAATGTCAAAGACTAGGGAGCTACTGACAGAGGTCATCAGAACAACACGTCTCTAAGAAATGAGATTAATGTTCAGGGTTAAAACATTTTGAATGGGGTGGGGGAAGAGTAGTGGAGAGGTGGCTCATGGTTAGAGCACTTGTTGCCCTTGTAGAGGACCAGGCTTCTATCTCAGCGATCACATGGTGGTTCATGATCACCCATTAACTCCAGTCCCAGGGGATCCGATGGCCTCTTCTGACCCCACAAGCACAAAGCATACACGTGGTGTACATATAAACATAATCTCTGATATCCAATAAAATCTATAAACCTAACTTTAAAAACTCTTGAATGCCCTTCATTGTGACTCCAACAGGAAAAAAAAACAACAAAAAACGTTGGTCCAAAAACTGAGCGCACTTTATAGGCTGTGGGCTGTGACCTGTCCAAAACCACGCCCTCCCCTGAGCAAAGGGCACATTCCCTTCCTTTGGCCCCATTCCCCTCCCCACCCCAGCAACAAGCCAGATGGCCCAGGAGAGCAGTTCTGCAGCATTCTGCAGAGGCCAGAGCTCAACCAGGATAGTGTAGCCCAGGTTCCTACTCAGCTCCACCCAGGGGAGGTCCATTTCACAGAATCCTCCTGGCTTCCAAGTCTTTGTCAAGCTGTGCCCAAGGAGGCGGCCTCCACTGTCTCCCTCCTAAGTCTTTGGAACAATTATAGTCAGAACTGTGAGGCCCGTCATCAAGAAGACATTTTGATTTTAAATTAATAGTATCTCTGCGGCCCTGGGCACCAACCGGTTCCCCAGACCGTCATCACTCCCCTCTTACTATGATCAAACTAATTGTTCAGGTTCAGAAGGAGAAGACAAACATTTCTTTTTCAGTCATACAGTTTCCTTTGGTAACAATTATTCTGACAGTATGGCTTTACTATTTTGCTCATGGCAAAAGTATTTTATTTATTTATTTCTGAGACAGGGTCGATAGGCTGGACTAGCACTTTCCTCAGTCTCGTGTGTCAGCTTCCTTAGTGCTGGAATCACGGACATGCGCTACCATAACAGAATACACAGTGGTGGCAGAGTGGCTTAGAAACTCCGTCACACAGATCGGCACGGTGGCAGGCCCCTTTCATCCCTGGTGGGGCTCTGTGAGTCCCAGGCCAGGCAGAGCTCCACAAGGAGACTCTGTTTCAAAAAGAAAAGAAAGAAGCAAAGACTAACCACAATTTATAATGTCATTTTTGACAGGGGAAAAAAATGTGTTCTACATGACTTTCATGATTCCAACCAGTGCAAACCGAAAAGGACACCCTCCAAGGTTGGTCCACCTGCCGCTGCTTACACAAGCATCTAGATTACAGGAAGATGGATAAGGAGCTACGCTGAATTTAATTCCAGATGGTACCTCTCTGCTGTTACCAAGCTCCGGAGTCCTGACGCAGCCCAATGCCAAGTAGTCACCGATGGTTTCAAATCTTCCATATCGTGATTTCATTAAGGCAAATAGCTGAGAACTGACTGCATCATGATAAAGCACTTTTACATTTTAAAAGGATAAATGGATATTCACAGCATTTGCAGTTAGGCAAAAAGGAATTCTAAAAAGAGCCCAGTGCAGTGCTGGGGGAGGGGGCTATCAAGAGTCAGACATCAAGCATGTGTCTTTATAGCTTGCACCATTCACTCATAATTTGTATTCTTTCAGTCAAGCAATTTAAAATATTTTCAAAATCTATTAATAAATTAACTGTGACTAGAATAGAAACCTTTTTATAAATAGTTTTATTTGTGTGTGTGTGTGTGCGCGTGCATGCGTGTACATCAGAACCTAACTTTCTGAGATTGGTTCTGTCCTTCCACCATGGGATTATGGGATTCCAGGAATACATCTTGAGTCATCACTTAGTCTCAAGCAGCTGTGCACTGAGCTGTGTTACCAGTCCTAGAACAGAACCCTTACCCTCACTAGCTCCCTTAAATCTAGTGGCCCAATCAGCCACCCCATCCAAGCGAGAGCCATGATCTAGTCCATCTGAAAATAGATTGAGATCTCCTCCAGCCTCTTCCTCACTCTAATCTCTAAAAGGCTTCAGCCACCTAATTGGTGGGAACCACAGTGGCTTCCTAATTGGTTCCCTCCATTCATTGGCCACACGGAAACCAAAATTATATGTCAAATATGCATACCCAAGCACACCATACCCTACAAAGAACAATTTTTTTTGTTCCATAGTGCTCAGGACCAAGGCCAAAAACTCTTGGATGAAGCCCAAACACGGGCCGTGGCCAGTCCAGCTACATTTCCTTAGCCAGTTAGCCAGCCGTTCTCACTTCCTGCAGGCCCAGCTCCAAATTCAGTAAACACAGTCATTCCTCAGTTGGAATGCTGCTTTCCAAAAGAATTTCCACTTCCTACAGGTCTCAGCAGGAACAGAAGGCCTCCTAGCTGCTGAGGATGGAGCAAGGCTCCTTCTACAGGATTCCAGGGCACACCCACCATGCCCTCCCGGCTCAATCCTGATTCTGTCATTTGACTAGTTGTCCTACTAGGCAGCCACACTTGAAAGCAAAGGGTTCTTCAGTATTCTTCCTGCCTTTTTTTCCCCTCTAGTGGAAACGAGGCTTATCATTGCTGTCCCCAGGCAGGCCTTGAACTCCTAGGCTCCCTCCTGCCCCCAACCCCACCC